AATGTTCGTCTAGCACATTTCATGGTCTCGCCAGTTTGTAAAAAAAAGCCTGCTGTGTGTACATTTTTGTTATCGTAAATTCTCCACACTGATTCATTTAATTTATCTGCGTCAAACTAGATAGTAAATAACAGTACCTTAGTGTAAAAATGCAGCGGTATTCGTAAGCGGAACTTGCGGATATGCATTTAATTTACGGAGAAGCTGGTGGTAACGGAAGACGAGCCTCGCGAATCTACGCCCAATGGTTTCCAGAACTTCCTCATCCGCATCACGCCATTTTTGCAAGGATTCATGGACGTCTTCGCGTCAGTGGCAGCATCAGACACCTCGCGGAAGCAGCGCGGCCCTTCACGAGGCGCACAGTAGAATTTGAGGAAGCGATTCTGCATCATGTAGAGGCCGATCAGCGTACAACCGTGCGTGCCCATGATATGGGAGCGTCTCAAACTACTGTTTGGCGGGTTCTCCATGACCAGCAACTACACCCATACCACCTTTTAAAAGTCCAAGCCATGGGTCCAGAAGACTATCTGCCGCGTCGACGTTTTTGTCGTTGGTGGCTGCAGCAGGAGTTGAGGCAACCAAACTTTGGTCGCTACGTTTTGTTCACTGACGAGTCCTGTTTTACAAAGGACGGTTATTTTAATAGCCGTAACAGTCACATTTGGGATGAAGAAAACCCTCATGCCATAGCCATCCATAGAGACCAACATCAGTTTTCAATTAACATCTGGTGCGGCATTGTGGACGAGCATATCATCGGGCCATATTTGCTTCCACCACGTTTCGATGGGCATGCTTATGGTCGATTCTTACAGCATGTGCTACCGGAACTATTATAAAATGTGCTACTGAACATAAGAGCGAATATGTGATTTCAACACGATGGCGTTCCAGCCCACTTTTCTTTACAAGTGCGGCAGTATTTGGACGACAAATTTCCAAATAGGTGGATAGGCCGAGGTGGCCCTGTGCCTTGGCCTGCGCGGTCACCCGACCTGACCAGACTGGATTATTTTCTCTGGGGCCATTTGAAAGCTTTAGTGTACGAAACTCCTGTTCCCAACCAACAAGAGCTACTGGGAAGAGTGATGGCCGCGTCCGCACATGTTCAGGACATACCGGAGGTATGCCACAGAGTTCGCCGATCATTGAACAATCGTGCACAGCTGTGTATTGAGCAAGGTGGAGGACACTTTGAGTAATTACTGTAGGTAAGCTGTTTCAAGAAACTGATCTTTTTTTTTGCTGCAGCCCAAACGGCATATTTCCGAACAGGGGTTTATAAGGCAAAATTGTTCATTTTGATGCCCTCTACAACTCCTATCATTTTGTCGCAATAATTATGGAACACCCTGTATATAAATAGGTGGATAGGCCGAGGTGGCCCTGTGCCTTGGCCTGCGCGGTCACCCGACCTGACCAGACTGGATTATTTTCTCTGGGGCCATTTGAAAGCTTTAGTGTACGAAACTCCTGTTCCCAACCAACAAGAGCTACTGGGAAGAGTGATGGCCGCGTCCGCACATGTTCAGGACATACCGGAGGTATGCCACAGAGTTCGCCGATCATTGAACAATCGTGCACAGCTGTGTATTGAGCAAGGTGGAGGACACTTTGAGTAATTACTGTAGGTAAGCTGTTTCAAGAAACTGATCTTTTTTTTTGCTGCAGCCCAAACGGCATATTTCCGAACAGGGGTTTATAAGGCAAAATTGTTCATTTTGATGCCCTCTACAACTCCTATCATTTTGTCGCAATAATTATGGAACACCCTGTATATGTATAAATAATATATATTTATACCTTTTTTAATTATTCACTTCTACAGGCGACCTAATTGAATTATTATTGGCCATTGTATACATTGTATAGATGAATATGAAGACGTATTCCATTACAATTGTATACCCAGATACAATGCGCATGTTTAATGCGCCCATCACCTGGCACAAATATAGGAAACATGTCACGATCACTGTGAGATATCCAAATGCAGAATACCTCCCAACTATCCTTATGGAAAACTGATCCCGGTCAAATTTAACGAAACTTTGCTAAATAATAGTCCTCAATATGTAGGCGAAAAAATGACGTCAAAATCATGCACTTCCCACGCAACGCCGGCATCTCTTCATCACAAGTTAGACGCCCTGGAAAAAAAGGTAGTCACGAACATGTCTATAATTGAATGGATCAAGTCAGTCAAACAGACTCATAACAATCATTTCATACACATTATTTTCTTGCGCTACCGGTAGTACTCTTATCCATCTGGCAGCATCGCTATTTTCTTCCATACCTTACCCCATGATACATCAGACGCGGGAAGGCGGCACTGCCGCAGGACATTATCGAGACCCCCACGCCGGCCGAAGACGCGTGTCGAAAACGTTTCCCTATCATCCCAAGTATCAAGAGTAAGTTTCGATTGTTCTTAAAATTGTTTTCCAAATTTGTAAGTTATAGATACCTATATGAACCATTGTTTGGTATATACATCCTCTGTGTGCGCGCGATATTTATGCGAAGTATTGGTAATCATATTTTTAATAAAAATATTTCAGTATGCATATAACGTATGCATGGTTCTTGGGGACAACAAAGAACATAGGAGAATCTTTATTACACTTGAAACTTTGAACCTTTCATCAGCTCAGCTGTCCAGTCACAGAACTGTGCAGTGCTACTTCATCAAATTGTTTAACGAAAAGTCGTGAGGTTGATATCGCGGTAGACCCACAAAATAAACGTTAGGTTGGTCGTCTTATACTCCGTTTCGGCTTGTTTAATTAAATTGAATAGTAAATGTTATTATATTATAAAGTTAATTCAACTACTATGTGTTAAAATAAGAAACATTTGTGTCTTACTACATATTATTCATACTTACTGATATTAGCTTTGCTGCACTACAAATGTATCAACTGCCAAGTATAGAGGGAAAACAAATACTAAAGTCATCTGGAAGGATACGTTAGTGAATATTCACAAGTGTTGATTAGGGTGATCCAACGCCATGACGAATATGTTAATCAATGGATAAATACAGTATTCATACCGGAACTTATTATCTTAAATTTTTACAAGCTTGAAAGAAATCTGTGGTTGTTGTATGTTGATCAAGTTGGATAGTTACATAGCTATCGATTTCACGATGCACGGAAAATGAGATCTCGCTCCTGGGTGTGGCGATATGGAAAATACTTGCCGCCTGAATTTGATTCTATCATCTACACTACAAGAAGGGGTTATGATACTTGTTTCCGATGGACCAATTTTCGATGCAATTTTACGCTTTCTAATTGGTCATTATTGATCCGGAATATAGACTTTGATCTCCGGATCAAATAAAAAAATTATGTTTTTTTAGCTAAGGCAGGCGATTTATAAAATTTTTTTAATTTAATAAGGGAATAAGAGGCATTTCCTACAAAAATTAGTTTAAGAGATATTTTAGCAAAAAATCGAGCTGCTCATTTAATCTACCAGGCCATTGGTGTATAGTGATCGGGATCAACATTTTAGGTCCCGCGGGTCTACAGTAAAATCGGACCTTAATGACGCTTCCGAGATTTTTCACTGTTTGCCAAAAAGGGCAGATGGCAAAGTAAGAGTATGAGTTGATGAAAATATATACTCTTTCTTTCCTTCATCATTAGCCACATTTTACCAACACCCGTCTTAAAATCAAATAACTAAAGTGACAGCACAGTGGCAAAAGGTGAAAAAATCGAATTCCAGTGCCCCATGCAGAAATATGTTGCATGCGAGATTCGAAACTGAAAATTGTCTTACTTTAGCAATGCTAAGCGCACAAAGCCGGGTATAACAGCTAGTAGCTATATTTTAAGTAGAACTTCATTTTTTTCTCACCTGAATTACCACTGATTACCTTCTTCAAGCTATCCATGCATCAACATTTCAATTCCATTGAACATTAACGTATATTCAAATATATTTCCACGATAGTTACTATGCCATAATTTTGTCGGTAATAATGCGAAATCAACTGAAACCGGCTTTGCCATATTAGCAACGGATAATATTTCCTTAACTTTTATGAACGCTGTGAGAATTATCTCTTTCAGGAACATAATGATCGCACAAATCAGTGACAATATTCGTTGTCTGCATGTCAAATAAGATTTATATTAATTTCAGATATTACTGGTTTGATACTAATCCATACTTATTTCTGACATGCGTCTAGTTTGAGAATTGTGTATGACTTTGACATGGCATAATATGGTTAGCGGGTACGAGATTTGAGGTGCTCGGATACTATTTCAAGTTAAGCCAAACTTTTACATTGTAAAAGCTAACTGTAATACAGTTTTTGGATATTAAGTTATTGACGGTAAATATGTATAAACCTGTGACAGCCCTTAAACCCCTTAGTTCGCTACTATTACAAACTCCATTCTCAGTCTAGGTCTACTCTTAAGAACCTCATTATTGAAAATTCAAGTATCTGGCCGTGAACTTCAAGGATTTTTAAAGGAACTTGTGAATGCCTTTTAAGTCCCTTAATCCAGCACTGTTGCACCTACTACCTGTAAATTACCGCCCTCTCAAATGTTAGGTTTCTATTAGAAAATCGAAGCAGTTTTGTGCAAATTTGTGAGCGTAAGCATTCCCCTCAGTGAGGCCCTGTCACATTTCGTGTTCATAGGTCAAATATTTTTCGATTCAAATTTCTTTAAATTTAACTTGAAAAGGGATAAATCGTGGACACAATACGCTCCTACTTTTCGAGTGACTCAATTTGAAGCATTCTTTGTCCTTTAGTTTCAATTATGTTCTCCACTTCACCCCCTTAGTGGTGGAATTCCCAAAATTGCTTTGCAGGTGCTCATCTCCATTATATCAGAAGACCAAGTATAAAAAACCGTATTTGTATATTCAACAAAATAAGATTCAATAAAATCAGTACTACAGTTTTGGCGTGAAAAACAAAACATGAATGCATACTTTCGCATTTATTATGTTTGTAGATTTTTTAGTGCTTACGAACCATATAGGTTTTTCCTAATATGTCTGACCAATGGAACTGGTCAGAGAGGCAACCACGTGATGATGAATGAAGATATGGTACACTTTTTGGTATTGCTTGCTGTGTATTAAAATATTGAATTTAGAATCTAAAGTAGCTCACTCTGTATACTCACATGAGAACTCTAGCGCTACCCCAATTGATTTAGTTATAGTGCCGATTTGAAAGCTATCGCCTTTCCGATACCATTCTCAGATTTCCAAGTGTGTGCTTGCGTAGGTCGATCGTCTGTGCGATTCTCCGCAAATGCGTTTTTGCTTTGCACTTGCTAACATTGACTAGCAAGTCGTTTCCATAAGTTGCGGTATTTCTGTAGTCGATCGACTTGCTTATGGACGAGATCGTCTTTCTTGTATTCGCGCTTTTTTTTCTACACATAGCGCCCACTCAGGCTTTGCTTGCGTCTTGAAGCATGTGCTTTTTGGCTACACAGACATGTTGAAGCAACTTCTCGGTAATGTTAATCTGATAGTAAAAAAACTGAAGCTTGCCGGACATGATTATTTGTGTTGGTATTTCACTCTACATGGACCTAGTAACTGGATCTTCTTGCGTAACACATCACGCCAACCCAGTGTCTTCGCCCAGGAAGCCTCAAAGATAGAAGTCCATGTCTTTGCTTATACTGAACTAGAAAAGCATTTCATATAAGGTTGTCTATTTTCCTTATAGATCAAGTATTATCTTGAAAAGATCTGAATTGTCTTATTTGATGACGACATTATTATGAAATATTTCGTTTAATAGAACCTTGAATTTGAATGTCAGTCCGTGACGCTAAACATGCGTACATATCTCTGAAACATGGTCGATCAAATTTTTTTTATTCCGGTCCGAATATCATGCCTTACAAACAGCATAACATATAATGTTGCGTTAACAGTGTTCGCTCCAAGCAATCTAGTATTTCCCCAATATTAATATCTGAGAACCTAAATAGATTATACTTTAAAATGGCTTACTGGCTTCCAACTTGTAGACAAGTAGAAACTTCACAGTGATACAGCCGTTTTGTGCTTCTACATCCTTCTTCGAATGGCACCGACTGCGAGCGACTGCCATGCCGGAAATATGATTAACTGAATCCAGATATAATTTCAATTACACAAAAACTTGTTAATGTTGTATTCAAATAAGAGTAAGTAACTAGCTTCACATAAAACACTAATTTCCACATCTTCTCACGACATGCAAAATAGAGGCATCAACTATGTCATATCGACAGGAATTCACTACTTGACTTGATTTTCAAGCTACTTGACTTGACTTGGAATCAGCAGTCTGATATCAAGTCAAGTAGTTTTTACACATGTTTTTATATTACTTCGTAAGCTGTGTGATATAAATACGAGTACACTATAGATACACAAGGAAAAGGCTTTATTTGTCACAAGTTTCAGAGAAAACAATACATATTGAGGAAAATAATTTGTCCATCGTATAACAAATAGTAAAACAACAAAACTGCAAGCTTAAGTAGAAAAAAGGCATGTCTTCATAAGCGGATACAAAGTAATGAAACATTCTAACTTAGCTTTTCGTTCGCTAAGCACTAGTTAATACATCAGCGTCATGAAGCATATAATGGTGGTAAAACTAAAAATATTGGAAGTGACAACTGACCGGGTTTTGAACCACACTCCTATATCATAATAATTATTTTAACGTGTGCTTGATCATGTTTGACATCGAAAGATCCATGAAGATGATATTTTGTGCTTGTAACAACAGGTAAAATTGGTTGTAATGTTTTTAATTTTGATTTATTTTATAGAAAACCTGTATATCTGTATTGTATGCCCGCGCTATATGAAAATATATTTTTCATAGATGGCGTTGCGTGGCCCAAGGACAATTATGCCGGTCCTGATTCTTCTTCCTAACAATTTTTGTCCTGGCATCTATAGAATTTCAACGACACTATCTACCGATTCAATATTTTGTGTTATGGAAAAGCTGATTTCATGCATCATTTGAGATAGCTATGACAAAATTTTTAATTGTCTTCCTGATTATCTGCATAAAAATACAAAATACGGCTCATCAGTTGTACATAAATACCACTGAAAGTCTTTAGTAGATCAAAAACACGTTCTACAAATTATCAAGTAATTTAAAAATGCTTGACTTTGAGTAAAAATCAAGTCAATCATCAACTGTTCAAGTAATTTTATTTTCAAGCAGTTTATGACAACATCAAGCTACTTGCCTTGAGGAATAACTATACTTCTACATTTCGATGCTACATAAAAAGTATGTTTGTCATACACCTTTAGCAAGCTATGATTTGTGCAACAAACATTGTTGAAACGGGTGAAGCGTTACCAGAAACCAGTAACATTTTGCGAGACTTCCAGAGACATTTTACGCTTCATTTAATGTAGATACCACTCCAAATAAATTAAAAAATACTGAAAATATCTATGTCCTTTTTGTATCTCTTGTGTCTTCGAACATACTTCGAATAGAAAATAACCATCACACATGCCAATTTTTGCGCTATGCCAGGCCAGGCACACAAGTTACTCCGTGACATTTTTAGGTCAGTCCATGAGATCCAGATTTTTTGCAGATGTCTAGCTTTCATTTCAATACAGAAAGTTCTTGTTTATATCATTATGAGGAACGAACCCTAATGTAAACAAGACATTTCACATAATTTCAGTTTTTCCCTTCTCTTTAGAGAATCATGTGAATAATTACAAGAGTCAATCTTTCGAGCTTCCATTTTTTGTCAGACCGTGACGTCTCACAAAATTTTTAAGCAAGAAATCCTATCGAACTGATTTGTGATTTTTGAATACGAAAAAATGTGTAGAATCTATCGCTCATAGAGTATTTATTGTGTTACTACTCACCATTTTTGATCAGTTTTGCTGAAAATTTCTAAAAATGTCGTGTGATTGTCAGTCCGTGAATCATGGCAGTGCCCGTCCTTCTTCTTCTTCCTCGATGTTTATGGATTCTGCTGTATTTCAAATAGGGCTGCGCTCGTGAATTATTACAGAATGTACTTTGTACTACTCTGTAACAAGTTCATCGTTCGTAATTGTTTGAGGTACTTGTTCCATGCGTTCACGAATAGAACAAAGGGAACCTTCTGGGATATAAAAAGTGCACTTTTCTTCCCGGGCTCAAAACCTTGGTAAAAAGAGTGTTGCCGTTTGTCGTTCTTATGTTACATTGTTTGTTTGCCTTATTTGGTTATCAAAAAGTACTCAAAATTGACAGAATGTATTGTTTACGATAAATGGGCTACCACGTTACTTATAATAAAAGAGTAGCAGAAAATATGAAAATGTATAATGTCATTATAAAGTTCTATGACTTTGAGGTTTGCACGTAATAGCAACCAGAACATAAAAGCTTATCTAACAGTTTTGTACAAAAATCGCTGTCAACAATCTGGTTTACAAATAAACGCTTCGATTAAGCGCCTATCACTTTTATACCATAATCACGAGAAATCTTGCTGCACATGTTTCCATAAAAATGATAGATGTAGTAACGGCATTGAATTGTAGCTTTATTTTCAACAATAACAGTTTCAGTATTACTGGTATCTACAGGCCTAATCCCACGGATGTACAGGATTTTGTAAACAATTTGGATTCGTATTTGAGAAGTACTGCAAACTGTGACATTTCGTTGTTGGTGGGTGATATAAATATAGACTTATTGAGAGAACATGAATACAGCAATTTAAGATACGTGAATATGTTACAACAGAACGGGTACATATCTCAGATTAATACACCTACTAGGGTAGATTCTAACTCATCTACGATTATCGACCACATATTTTTGAAGGCAAACAGATTTAAGGTCTCTGAAACAGCAATTGAGTGTAAACCAATACTTTTGGAAAATTGTATGACCGATCATTATCCTGTTTTGTTCAATTTTGGGTATTTGAAAGGAAGTAATTGTATCATTAATAAAAACAGCTATGAATTTAAGAAAATTGATGAGAAAAGGTTAACAGATTATTTACAAGTGGTGACTTGGGACAGTGTTTTTTCAGAGAGTGATGTGCAAAAAGCAACTGATAACTTCTATAATGAATTATATAAAGGCATAGATCATTCAACGTATTATTTAAAAATAAATAGTAAGACCAGAAAACGCAAGCCGTGGATGACTGACGGTATTCTTACTTCGATCAAGAAGAGGGATGAGTTGAAACAGAGTTTGACGAAAGATAATGATAATTTGATATTGAGACAGTCCTATATCTCCTGCAGAAACAGAGTAACTAATCTTATTAAGATCTCTAAAAATCAATATTATACACAAAAACTCATTTTAGCTGGTAATAACTATAGGAAGAGCTGGGATGTTATTAATGAGGTAACTAATGCTGGCAAAATAAAAAAAAATGACGTAAAATCAATTAATCACAATAATCAGCCGCTGGAGGCTCCCACTGATATAGCCTGTGTTTTTAATAAATATTTTGTTGATATAGGTGAGCAAATAACAAGTCAGATTGATCAAAACTCAATTCTTGATACATCAGATCCTCATGTCGTCAACATTGCTCACTCTATGTTTCTAACTCCAGTGGATAACATAGAGTTACAACAAATAGTTTGCAATCTGAAAAATAATAGCGCACCCGGAAAAGATGGCTTACACACTAAAACTATCAAGATGATCATGAAGTATATCAGTCACCCTATAACTCACATTATCAACCTCTGTTTCAAATCCTCAGTAATTCCTCGCCAATTTAAAGAAAGCATAGTGACACCAATATTTAAATCTGGAAGTAAAGACAATATGTTCAATTATAGACCTATTTCAGTTATCAATGTATTTGGGAAGATTTTTGAGAAGTGTTTGAATAACAGACTTTGTTCTTTTCTTGAGAAATATGACATAATATCGAACTGTCAATTTGGGTTCCGCAAAAATTGCAATACAGAGCAATCTCTACAAGAACTTACAGGACAAGTGCTTGACAATTTTCAAGTTGGAAATAAGACTGTTGCAGTTTTCCTAGATCTTCAAAAGGCTTTCGATTCAGTATCTCATACAATTTTATTAAAGAAACTAGAAAGTGTTGGAG